CGCGCCAACTGTGAATAGCTGCCGCTTGTGCAGAGGGGCTCCCAGTGTGACACTGGAAACGACTGTTCCGGAGAACAGGCAAGCCTGGCGGAGACCCCCCTCACACCCCAAGAAAACCACCCATCCCGTTCCCATCAGCCCCTTGCAGCAGGCCCAGCCAGTGCTGGGACTGGCTCAGAGCCTAAGGGGCTGGAGGGGGTGACTGGAACTCTCTGGAACCTCCTTTATAATAAAAGCCTGACGAAAAACCTACTGTGGGCTCCAGCCTTTGTCCTGGGATGGCTGGGGGTGGGGGAAAATAGGGGTCTTTGGGAGCCTGGCTTCCATTCCTGCCTCGGCCCTGTACTGAGGTGTGGGCAGATCCCTGCCTCAGCTTCTGGGGAGGCAGGCAGAGGCGGGAAGATGAGATACTGCAGGCAGTGTGCTTGCATGGGCCTAGCCCTAAGCTGTCGTTCCTTGGGCTCTGGGGGCACTCATGGGACCTCCAGGAAGATGTCACCTGTGTTGTATGCTCCTGACTTACTCATCTTTATAACACACCTATGAGGAGTGTAGTATTGTCCCCATTTTACAGATGTAGAAACTGAGTCTCGGCAAGGTTGAGGAGTTTCCCAAGGCCATGCAGCCAGGGAGGAGCAAAATGGGAAGCAGGTTGCATGGGTCCCTCGTTCCTCTGTCCCCCGCTTCCTGCAGGCTGGAGTCTCCACAGCGGCCCCCAGAACATGTGAGGAGGTCAGATGCAACCACCCTGGACAGGGAGCTGGCATTTTCGCAGTTACCTGGCCTTTCTCATGGATCTTGAAAAATCCACACCATTCACTCTGTTTTTCAGACAAGGGAACAGAGTCAGTCTCCTCGGAGCCAGGTTAGCCCTGGGCTCTCTCCCAGCAGGGCAGGCCGTTCCTGACCATGGCCCGCAAGGACACTTAACCTGACCTGGGCTCAGCAAACACCACCCCCCACCCCCGCAGCCTCCCTCAAGATCTGGGCCAGGCTGGGGAAGGTTTATCACCCCCAGGAAAAGGTCACCAGAGAGCCCCCTGCCAATGAACTGCAACTCCAGTTAATTTTTTCCCTTATGAAGGAAAAACAGTTAACATACATTTATCAAAAGTAAGAACTAGGACAAAAGAAATTCATAAAATTGAAACAAAATCCCACAAATACCAGTTCTAGAATTAATAAGAACAGAAAAGTGAGGAGAAAAGTAAACAATCTTTTGCTTTAAAAATAGTTTTTTCCTGTAGTGGCTTCTGGGTGGAGAGAGATTCTTTATCTTTCAAATTTTCTATTCTGAGCATTGATTCCTTTTTATTAAGCAGCAGATTTTCTAATTTAAGTTATCAGCACAGTTGATAGCGGTTCTGTCTTTTTTTTTTTTCCAAGGGGGAGGGTGCGATGCTCCAGTGAATATGTGTTTCCCGGAGAAACGCAGGAGCAAGAGGCACGAGAAAATGAGAGCTGCCCTGGCCCCATGGCTACTGTGGAGCATGCTGCCCCTGACGGTGGGCTTGCAGGGGAGGGGGCCAAGGAGCAAAAATCAGGATCGGGGTGTACACGCCATTTTGCAACCTGATTCCCGCCCCCCGCAACAATATGTCAGTAACATCTTTCTGTGTCATTAAATATTCCACAGCCTGTCTTACTGTCTGATTAACATGCAACTCCTTGAAATTTAGAAATGTGTTTGCAAATGGAGGAAATCTCTAGTTTCTGGGGTCATTTCTCAGCACAGAAAGTGGCCAACTTCCTCAAACCATTTACAGTCCTCTGGGGCCCTGAAGACCTGCCCAGCAGCTGTGAGCTTGAAGGGGGTCTGGACCCTCTTTCTGAGGCTCACAGGAGGGTGAGGACCCCGATGTGGCACTGTCAAGCTAAACTCCTTTCAAAAGGGGAGAAACCATTGCAGATAAGGGAGGTAACTTGCCCCCCACCAGCCTGTCGGAGGTGCTGCTCAGGCCCAGGCCCCTCCACGGAGGAGCAGAGGCTGCCCAGCCCCCGCCATCTGCTCGGCGCTCCTCAGGGCTCTGCAGCAGCCACGTCACAGATACCCTAGGGACACTAGGCACATCTAGACAAAGCTTCGTGTAGGATTCTGGAAGAGAGTGTGGGGTGACGAGCGGGGGCAGAAGGGAGCAGTCTGATGCCCCATGCTGGGCAGCCTCAGTTTCCCTTTGTGCCCCGTCTGCCCCCTTCACAAGTCCCATCCAGTTTACCTCTACCGCCCTTCAAAGTCACCCCTTCCTTCTCCCCACTTCCCCCAGCTCAGCTGTCATCTCCCATTGGACCATCTCAGCATCCTCCCGCCCATGCTGGGTCCTCACCTCAAGAAAAGGTCACTGTGCAATCACCTGGCTGTCAACACCCCAAGCTGTGGACTCACCCTTGACCCCTTTCTACATCCAATCTACAGGCAAATCCCATGCACCCCACCTTCACGTCTACACTGAACCCACCACTTCCAGCCTCCTCCCTCCACAGCCACCATCATGGCCACCAGACTCCCTCACCCTGACTGTGGCAGGAGCCTCCTCACGGGCCTCCCTGCCTCTGCCCACATCCCCCTGCAGTCACTGTCCTGCCTGCTGTCCTGCAATGGATCCTTATGACAAAGTAAAACCCAAAGTGCTTACCCCTTGGTCCGGCCCGTGGCTCACTCGGGAGAGTGCGGTGCTGATAACACCAAGGCCACGGGTTCGGATCCTATATAGGGATGGCTGGTTAGCTCACTGGCTGAGTGTGGTGCTGACAACACCAAGTCAAGGGTTCAGATCCCCTTACTGGTCATCTTTAAAAAAAACAAAAACAAAGTGCTTACCCTTGGCTTACAAGGTCCTTCCTGGTCTAGCCCTTGTCTGCCCTGCAGCCCACGTTCTGCTTCTCTGCTGCTGCAGAGCAGACCACCCCGACACACGGCATCTTACAACAACAGCAATCACTAATTTTGCTCATCAATCTGCAATTGGGGCAGGGCTTGGCAGGGAAGCCTCATCCCCATTCCAGGAGGTGTCAGCTGGGGCAGCTTGACGAAGGCTGGACGGCCCAATTCCACGATGGTGCATTCATATGGTGGCAAATTGGTGCTGGCTGGTCAGAGAGCTCAGCTGGGGCTGAGAATAGGGGAGCCTTGGTTCCTCTCTGCAAGCTGCTTGGGCTTCCCCACGGAATTGTGGCTGAGGTCAAAGAGGGAGTATCAAAAGCAAAACAAAACCCAAAACACAAGAAGTAGAAGCTGCAAGTCTTTTAAGTCAGGGCCTAGAGATCGTCATGGTGTTAATGTCACTGTATTCTACTGGTCAAGCAATCAGATCCAGATTCAAGGTCAGGGACATAGACTCCACTTGTCCATGGGAGGACGTCACAGAGGTTTTTAAAGCACCGCAGACCTCATCTCCCACAACTGTCCTCCTCTCATTGA